AACGCACACACACACACACACACACACACACACACACACACACACACACACACACACACACTCCCAAATGTTCCTCCAAAATGCCAAGGACATTGCCAACTAGGCGTCTTATTCTTGTGGTAGCTGACTTTCAAACTCTGCACCTATAAGCCTCTTACTGAACACAACAAGGTGTGTGACAATTTAGGAAACCTTGGATTTGTTCAGCTGAAGTCGGGCATTTTTAAGTGTTGTGAATTTGGGGCAAATAGTTCTTTTTATGGTTTGAGTACCAGTGTGTGTTTCTACGTGTGCATCAGTGACAGACCTTCATCCTGAGTCTGGGTCAGCAGTTTGTTTAGCATCAATTAGAGGCTCTGTGTTCCTCAACGCAAGCGTGAAGGGAGAATTAACGTGCAGTGGCACATTCCCACCAGCGCATTATAACACACGGCACCTCAGCTGGAACAGCATGTTTGTGCATGCACGTGTCTTTATACTCACGTGTGCACGCACATATGAGTGTGCACAGGTAAATGACTCAAGTTCAGAAAGTCCTTTTTTTTCTTTTTTTTTTTACTCCTCTGCACTCTTCTTACTTTCCTCTCCTCACTTTCAAGGACTACGGTCTGGCCACAGCCATTTCCCTTAGCCTCTGCTTTGCCTAGCAACTCACAGCACATAGTTTCCATAGAACATGCATTTGTGGGAGAGAGGATATATACAGTAGATACTGGAGGAAGACTCTTGTAAAGACGACTGGGTCTAAAGATGTTCTGCTCCACCAACAAAGTCTGAAAAACACATGTTCAGTGGCTTTTGTGCAGACTTCTTTCTTAAAGGCATGTAGAAGAAGTGTAAAGATGGCATGGAGCTGGAACGGGGCTAATATTATCCTGACAGCAACAATAAATACAGGGCATGGTTATGAAAAATGAAACGCCAATGTAATTACTTTGCCTTGTGGTGCTGGGTTATGTTTTTATTGTTATGGTTTTGGCCCAGTCTTTACACAGACTAATCGTTGCTTAACAGAATGATTCAAAGTGATTATAACTTCAACCATCTATCCTTTGGAAGCTAGTAAAAGAGGTCCTTCGAGACATTGCATTAACAGCCTAATTCCCACTAGTGCTTAAAAAGCTTTTTGGTCTTTAAAACCACATATTAATGCATTTTAATTATTAATTAATGAATGCATGTTGTTTCAACAACACAGAGACAGAAAGTAAAGAAAGAAAGTTCTGCCGAACCCATTTGATTTTTTAATAAATAACTCAAACAGCAAGCGAGCCAGTTGCAACCTGTTGGTTTTCCGTTACTCGAAGTTTACAAGACAAGGACAAAGTAATCCCTGTGGTGCATTGTATTAAGTCTATTTTGCAGATGTAATATTTGAACCCAAATGTAATAGTTACATTTCCTATTCTGCAACATTATTCAAATGAAAGTGCACTGGCCCCAAATGCCCAGAAGTTCTGTTGGGTTTGGGCCAGGCTGCAGATCCTAAATACCTTCATGAACTTTATGTGTAGATAGTACAATATGATTATGTTATTGGCACCTCTTGCTATTGCAGAGTCAGTGTTGTGCTCCTCAAATACATTTTTAGGAACAACACATCCAGAGGATTTGTTTTCTTTGATAACATTTTCCAAGAAGGAAATGCATCATTCATGATCATTCAAGATTATTATGTTAGAAGTGATTAGAACATGCCTAACCCTCTTATGGATTATTGGATTGAATTCATGCCAGAATATGTACCACACACAGGCACACCATTACCAGAATCCTTTAGTTTGTATGTAGCTTTTTTCTACTTGATTACATCCTATGAATGAATATGGAATGTAGTTTAATTTAATTTGTGCCCCCTTAATGTTCTTTGATGGGGGATGGGATGTCAGTGGGCCTCTGCCAAGAGGAAGGTTTCATGGCTTTGCCAAGGTATGCCCTCCTCCCTCTCTCTCATGTGGAGTAAGGCTCTATACTCGCTTGTAAATAGTGAGATAAGTGTGGTTTACCCGTAGCTAAGGTGTAAGGTGCACCCAGCACCGCCCTGACATGTCTGTGCCAGAGCCCAACAGGGGTGTAATTACCTGAGACTGGGTCAGCACTTTATCCTGGGTAAAAATACCTGCCTACTTATAGAAGGGCAATAGAGGGGGCAGCTCATGCAAGGGGAAGCCTGTCTTCACACATCCTCTGAGAGAACTGTTTCTCTATGTTAGGCAATGTTCTCGTATTTTCTTCACTACTGCTTTAGAAAAGACACTTAAATATCTGTACTGGGGTCTCCTAGACAAATCCTTTCCATCTTCTTTTTCTGATTTACATGTCTGCGACGGACTGACCCACAAAACACTTCAACGCACGTCCAATATTCCACTCTCTGCCTCCAACTGCAGCCGACTTTCAGTCCAGTACCTTTCCGCACTCTCTGTATTCCCCTTCTCCGCCCCTTTCACACCACATCTGTCTCTCTGCCCTCCGAGTCAAGGACAGAGAGGGCCAAGCAGACATGCAGAGGACAGCTCTGCACCAATCAGGAGACAGAGAAGGCCTGTGTCAATTAAATGGTATGTGCTTATGCCGCAAATCACAGACACATGTTCCCTTCTCCCCTCCCACCCTGTGGCTGTTGCCTCTCTTCTCCACCACCTAATGCAGCGTAATCATCCTCATTACCTAATGAGACCTTACTGTACACACACTCTCTCTCCTCCCCTTACACATGTGTATAAAAGGCGGCCACATCCTCACACAGAATGGTATAGTTATGCAATACACAACCATCTGAACCTCTACTATACTATCCAACAGAGAGTCTCTCATTGCCACAACACTGTAAAGCCTCTAATGCCACAGTAATACTATTGTAGTGTGTATTATCAACAGGACAGTGAGCACGGAATTAGGCAGGCAGCTGGGGAGGGGAGAACCCCCTCATTAGCTCCCTTCAATGTATCTACTTCTCCTAATCTCTTACAATAACATAATCTCTTTAAAAGTGCTGCAGCTTAAATCCAATCTGCCTAAAACCTGACACGTGATTGAGGTCAATCCTCAGTAAACTCCAAACTGTGGGGTCCCAAGAACTCCATGCACAACCCCCACCCATCTGAGCTAGAGTACAGTGCAGTGTGCAAGTATTACTTTTATGCTTTGCACCGGGCAGAGTGCTGCACAGAATGTACGTACAGTATTTATTTCACTGATTCAAACACTTATCTGAGTCAGACGAAGCCCTGCCTTCTGCCTGCGTGTGCCTCTGATCCCAGAGCAGTTTGTATCCTTTTCACAGCCTCTGTTCTATCCTACTCTGGTAGTAGAGCGCTGTTCTGCTCTTTTTATTTTTTGATGTTTTTCCATAGTGTCTCTTGCCTCCAAACCACTTACAGATGTTGGCAACGGGGAGCGTTGTGGCAACTCCAAACGAGGAAATCTAAATAGAGATCAGGCTGTAAAAAAGAAAAAAGAAGAAGGCCAGGAGAAAGAGAAAACAAGGGGGAAAGCTAGAGAGCAAATGCAAGAATGGGGTGAGCATTTGTGTGGAATAAGAAGAGAGGGAAAAAATATATACTTTCTGTGCATGTAAGAACACTGATTTTATTTGAGGGCAACTTTTATTGTTTTGTCAGTAAAACTTGGGTTCAAACTCTTTATTTGGTTTTTCAATCCAGAGTTTCATCCTCTGTTTAATTTCCCAAAGAACAAACAAATATAAGCAGACATATATACATTTGTCTTGTGAGATATCTGTGATCTTGAGAAGGAAAATAAAAGACACATCCTCTAACAGGAATAGATGTGCTTTTACAGTTAGGTTTCCCTTTTTTATTTTTTATTAAATAGCAGTCTACAGTTTATACGAATTACACCCACCAATTGTAATTTATCAAGGCAGTCTAGAAAGCAGTTTTTTTTAGTTTTGAACGCAGACTTGGCCTGCCTCTTTGATAGTAGCTCTATGTTCCCTCCCTCCACCTGTTCTTCAGGAAGTAGCCTCTGGATCAGAGAGGAAATGTGTTGAAACGCCACAACCGGCTCCGAGCTGCGAGTCAGAGGTCACTACAGCTAATGCTTCTTATGTCCAGACACCTCCTAGGAAGAGAGTACAGCGAGAGAGAGAGAGAGAGAGAGAGAGAGAGAGGGAGGTGGCAGCGTGTTTGCAGTCATGCCACTCCCTGAGCGGTGATTGTAAAGATGAGTGACCTGTCTCCCCCATCTCTCCTCTCCCCCCCTCCCTCTTCTTCCTCTCTCCCCCTGCACTTTATTTATTAATGGATCCATTCAATTATTTACTTCACATCTTAGGGCGACAACAGGCCAGAGCACATTACACAGGGTGGAGATGATACAGCAGACAGCACTGCTCAGGTACTTGGTGGAGTTAATTGGCTGGTGGGATATACATCCAGCATGTAGTGGTGAATAGAACATGTATCTTTATAGTTAACTATTAACCAAAAGCATTTGATTTGGAATTTCTTAATTTTATCTAATTTAATTTTAAAAAACTCATTAATTTGATTAATCATTTAGTCTATTAAATGTCTGGAATGTTGTTGACTGAGCAGTCAAAATTGTAGAGATATTACATTTTGATGATATGAAACACAAAACTTTACCAAACTCCTTTTTTTGTTGTGCCAAACAAAAATGTTAGCTAATGTTTCTCTAAATTACTAGAATGATTGTACAACTAGAGTCTACAAATAAGTCGTCGACATACTTAGCGTAAAATGCACTGTAATATATTGAAATTCCAAAATGTATATAAAATAGTTATAATTAGATTCTCCTCTATCAACTGCTCTAGTAGAATGCTACTTACACATTAATGCATCAGAAATGATAATCCAATAATATAATTGTTGCTACTTACTAAATAAAGGTTTTTGCATTGTGTGTACTTTTACTATACTTAAATAATACTTATATGTTTCCTTTGGTGAATTTGCCTGCAATATAAGTGGCTGTACTGAATTGCTGCTTTAACTTATTTGGATTTTCAGTGACAGCCGGCAGTGCTTAAACAGCAGCAGGCGCCTTTGACATGTCCTGATGAAATACGGTCTGTATACCTTTAAAAGTGTGCGGGGTGGGGGGACATTATAACGTCCTGTTTGCAGTAGAGGTTGATGGTTCAAACGTATCATTGACCGCTCGGTGTCTGCTCTTATCTTATCCCCCTGCCCTTATCCCTGCAGCGGCCAGACATGGATCAATCCCACCAGGAATTGGGTTTCACATCCCGGAAGCAGAGATGTACACATGGGTCACTTTCATCGACTCTCTGCGGCCATGGCCATAGGTATCCATCATACAGACCATTGACTGGTTGTGACCATGAAGGTACAGATTCATCACGGAGAGAGGCTGCGGTGGACGAGGTCAGCGGAAAGCAGCGACTGCTTCTCGTCTGCAACCATGTGGAAATGGAGCCTTTTGAGATATTTTCAAAATGATGACGTAATTACAGTATAACATGCAGTTAGAAGAAAAAGTTACTGATGAGCATTTATGTGGACATTTATATTTTATGATATGGACAAATTTCCCAACTCAAAATCAAGTATGCAAAACAAAATATTGAATAACACATTTTAATCAAAGTACATGTCAGTGTGTCTTTTTGTTTATATGCATGCGTATCTTTGTGAACAGCAGCATTTTAATGGCCACTGACTGATAGAAAATAGATTTTTGTCCGCCTGTTTAACTTTGCCAATCTGTGTTTTATTCTAAGAATGAAGTGATTGTTAGTTTGTGATTCTTTAAGATTGTGCGTCTTGGTGTATTTGTGTGTGTGTAAAAGGCTGAGGATAAATAACGCAGTGATGTCGTCTTGATCTGAACTCCACACAGGGCTGGGCTTGGCTGAGGATTGAAGGAGAGAAGATGAAGGGAAGGATGATGGAGAGCTGGATGAGGGAGAGACGAGAAAAAGAAGATGGTGAAGATTGATTTTCATTGACTTGGTTCCAGCGCACTGACAACTGTGAGATTCCAATAACCAGCCTGAAACACTTGCATACACACTGCAGAGATATGGTGAATAGTTGGGGAATATTAGTAGCCTACAAGATTGAAGCTGGTCAGATTACGAACGAGTAAATGAAAACAGAATGAGGCGGAGAAGTGTGTGTGTGTGTGTGTGTGTGTGTGTGTGTGTGTGTGTGTGTGTGTGTGTGTGTGTGTGTGTGTGTGTGTGTGTGTGTGTGTGTGTGTGTGTGTGTGTGTGTGTGTGTGTGTGTGTGTGTGTGTGTGTGTGTGTGTGTGTGTGTGTGTCGGGGAAAGCCTGCTTTAATTCCCCGGGAAATCATCGTGATTTAGAGTAACAGGGAATTCACTTCCAATGAAAGTCAATGGGCCGCTGGTGTGGCAGTGGGCTGCACTGCTTGTGTGTGCGCATGCATATGTATCTCATCTGTTTGTGTGTGTGTGAACAATATAACTAAATGGAGTTGAATCTAAATGTAATTATATCAACACTATAACGCAGTAGGAGTTTGAGCCCTATAGAAGCTGTTTGTTCATTTAAAATAACCATGAATAGAGGAAATGCAGTGGTATACGTACAAATCACCTTACACTCTTTAACAAATTATGCAAGATGCAATTGAGTGTGTCAGTGTTTCAGGTCTGGATGTATAGAGCATGCAAGAAATGTTCACACACTTCAGAGGCTTTACAATACCTGCAGCAGGGCAGAGACTGATGCTCAGAGAGTTTACAAGCCGTTGACCTGCTGTAGCTGAGTGTATCTTGAAAACAACGTTGGGTCCAGAGCTGCCGTGCCGTGCCGGGGCTCTTCTCATCACTGCTGCTGATGTGAGGAGCTGGAGGAGGAGGCTGGCAGAGCCGGCTGAATGCAGATAGGATCTCTGTGGGGGGGCGTGAATGTGCGATCGGAGACTAAAATCATTACAGCACGCCTGGTCACTGTGTCCTTGGCTCTTCCGCTGAGCTGATGCTGATGTTTTTCTCTATTTCCCGCTCTGCCTCTTTTTCCCCTACTTTTTGTGTCCCTCTCTTTTTCCTCCCACTTACAATGTATCCAGCATTACACATCATGAGCTTTAAATAATGATTTCTCACAAATGTTTTATATACTTCCTATAGGTAAAAATCCGTCCAAAAGTTTAATTTTGCAGCTCTAATTCATGAAAGTCAGCAATGACGGAATTTGTGTTAATGTGGTCGATATGTATTGATGTATTAATCAGTTTGTCAATAAAACAAAATTAGGATTCAATTTGTTTAAGTGGTTGATATGAATCTATTTATTTGAGAGTTTAATCATGATGGAGGGTTAAAATGAATTGGGATAGCTTTCTTTTTTACATTTGATAGAAATTATGGTTTGGTTATATGTTCTTTTCTCTGGTAATTGCTTTCAGGCTCCACTTTTTGCTCTGGGACTCCAGCTGAGTGTCGACATGTTTGTTTAGTTCAGAATTCTTGGAAGAATAAGATACTGTAAGTACACAAAGCCCTGTTTCCTCTCCTGTGTGTTTGACTCGCTCCTCACACTGCTGATAATATGTAGAAGGTCAAAAGAATCCCCTACAGCAAATACAAAAAAAGTAGGCCTAGTTTTTGTTATTTGGGGGTTATTATCATAACTGTAAATATAGTCCTTGTTCTCCTGGTTCACCCCAGCTGCACTCATGCCCCCAGGCTGCAGTGGCTGTCCAGAGAGAGAAAGAGGGAGAGAGAAAGAGAGGGAGGTAAAATGTAAACTAGACTTGCCTTCCTTGGGTCTCATTGGTTGATTCTCTGCCTAGCGGTTTTGTCCTTGAGAATGTGCAGACACGGGGCAGATAATGTTCTGACACCAGTAACTCTAGACCGGGACCAGATCAACACTTACTCCCTCCTACTTCTTCTACTTCTCTGCTTCTAATGTCATACTATACCGGATATGCAGATTGAGGAACGCCAGTGTTTGTTGATATGTTTTGTGTTTAAATCACGATGAAAATCTAATATAAATGCATGGACTTATTATAACCTATATGTGTGGCATATCTGCATGCAAGCATAATTAAAACAGGATACAGACTCCTGCAAGCGTGTTGACACGTGGCAATCATAAATTCCGTTAACCATAAACATATCTCCGCAGGCGCGCACGAGGGGATTATTTTGAAGCTGAGGTCTGGCTCCGCGCATCACGAGACAGGGTTGGACTTTGTGAATTTAGACAAATTGTGAAACAACCAGTCAGATTGAACCTTTTAGTTAATTCAAAGCCATGCACGACTAAACCCCCAAATTATTGCACCACTTAATGTAAATCAGAGGTTTTCATCTCTTCTCCGTTATGTTGCAAGGTCAAATATCTCCTTTTACCGTGCGCTCTTGTAACGGCGGGGTTTCTGCAGAAGTCAGCATGCCAGCAGAGGCCAGCAGCATGTATAGGAATCTCCCTGCAGCGCCACATAAACGGCCAGACCCGGTGATCTAATCACAGGAGGCCAGTGGGCTGTGGTCCAAAAATGTCCACATCATCCTCTAATCTGAAAATAAAGTAAAGGCCAAGGACAGGATGTAGAGGTCAGTGAAAATAAGTTCTTAAAAGATAAAACAATGTTCCTGTCGCTCTGGCTTTAATTTAGTATTTTTTGCAGGAAGTGAGTGTTGCTCTGGCTCTACTTTCACTGCAGTGTGTGCTTTCTGATAACTTGTAAAATGCTGTTAATGCGACTCTAATCTTGTAATTATATCGCAAATCTTTTCAATAGCAGTAGAAAAAAAGTCAGAGAGGTAATTATTGCCATTTCAATGACTTTAATAAGCAAAATAGGAAACAATTTCTTCCAAAAACAACCGAAAATAACACAAAACAGAAACCAGCCTGAATGGAACAGTTCAAATGTAAGTGTTTAACTATTATTTATACAAACAGGATTGAAAATTGATCCCCATCATCGCAAAGTACATGGAATAGGTGAAAACAAAACAACAACCCGCTGCTGCAGTTTCAATTCGATTTCAACACAGTTGAATCAGTAACAAACCAAAGATTGTTAAATGCATGACTTTTCAACAATAGTTTCAAACGCAAGCACCATGCTTATTCGATATGATCTGACAGTTTGTTAATTTAAATCATTAAAATAAAAACTTTAACTATGCATCTGGCCAGCAGAACCAGAATCATCAAATAATAATAAAACAGACATAAAACATATTACATAACATAGACATTGTTTTCATTTTGAGAATTTGCACAACCTGAATCCCCTTTTTAACTGACCGGCAGGAAAAAAATCAGGAAAACATAGAACATTAATAGTTAAACTTTGTTTAAAAAAATGCTCGCGCTATCTAAATATTAACTCTACAAAAACCCCTGACAAGTTGTTTTTTCTTAATATTTTTACAAATATAAATCATCAATATTAGGCCGAGTGATAAAATGCTACAGGTGGCCGCCAATCGGAATGAGAGGTTTTGTTTGGGTTTGATGTGGTTCGTTAAAGAGTTAATAGGAAAGGCAGAACAGCACTTTTCTGAATTAGTGGCACAAAAACCACGATGAATTACAATGAGAGAGAGCATCAACCCACTGTGTATGTGCTAAACAGTATGTAGAAAACTTGTAACCTCGCCTTTATGCGCCTATTCTGTGCAATCTGGGTCCAATAATATTGTGACCACATGTTTGTCTCCCCAGCCTCGCAGAACATGTTTCCAAATATTACTTTTAAACTTTGCACGTAGGCCTGAGTTGAATAAAACACGATATAATATCATAGTATGTCTTCCTGGAGGGAGGTCCGCACAAACTTCAAAATGAAAACTGGCAAATCATCATCTAAAAGTGCACTTGACACACAGATTTTGTTGTATTTAAATGCCACATAAGGAAATGCACTCCTCAATCAATATCCCAAATGATGAAAAACAAAATCATAAAAAATAAAGGAAATAAAAACACAAAGAAAGAAAGAAGTTCAAACCAGCCTCCTCAATCTTGTTGTGCAGTTTTTGCGGTTGCATAATATTTACAAGCCCAAAGAAACCCACACCATATGATACTGCACCGGCAGTCCTGCTGTTCTGTCCCCGCTGCATTTCTCTAAACCCCCCACACTATGGAGAAGCGCAGATCAAAAACATGCTCTTAATATACACGAGAAGATGAAAGTACAAAATAGAAATTATTACCGTACATGTCCAGCATGCAGGATTAATATTTAATGCAGATTTTTTGTTTCAATATATATTCGAATATAACCAAGCAGGCAATAAATCAATGAGATGTTGCATAAAATGTCACCTCGTGACGGGCTAGTAGACAGAAGTTAAATTTGCATAAAGTGGAGTCTTGCTTTTGGAGATTTTCTCAGATTACGGGCCCACTTGTCGAATGTGAGTCTCGTGTGTGTTGCTGGCTGCGAGGCCAGGCCTGCTTGTTGTTTCATAACAATGTCATCATTTTGGAGAACAAAATTAGGAGACAACGGCCTCGACGCCATCCCACACTACTTACAGATTATTTCAAAACTGTAGCCTCAAAGGAGGGAAAGAAATGTTCATCAGCCGATCCTCTTCTTTGAAGAAGAAAAAAAGTCTCTTCACTACAAGCAACTAATCTACAAAGATGCTGCGACTGATCAGACACTCTACGTTGCTCTTTGTATCTCAGTTGTGGATGGAGAGATGATTAAATATGAGAATACTATTCGATGGATTATTCTTCTAATATGAATATAATTGTTACTGTTATTAGTATAATCATAAACAGTATGGGAGGTGTGGACTATTTTTCGTTTGTTCAGCCAGTCAGTCTTTTGTGGAGAAAGGAAAGTTGGGGATGGAGGGGAAAGTTTGTTGTGAGGGGGTTCACAAGAAAAGGCTATGACAACTCACATGAAAAACTCTGGAGATGAAGGGTTGTCACTGGTGGAGCCAGCCTTGCGAAACCCGTTATTGGCCCCTGACCCCGAGAGTTTCTCGCACTTGAGCTTGTAGGCGTCCCTCTCCCTCGCCAGCCGGCCGATCTCTGCCTTCAGCTGCTCCACCTGGTCGATCAGCTGGGTCTTCTCGATCTCCAGCACGTGCTTCTGCTGCACCCGCTTGTACCTGCAGGACTGAGCGTAGCCCCGGTTCTTCAGGGTCCTC